TTTTTTTTAAGGTTTCAAGGCGGGTCAGGTCTCAATAACTCTTTTTTTTTACTAATTCAAATAGATTCTGTACACATTAACCAAGAATTTCCACAAATTCTTACACTCCTCTGCCTATTCTTTTTTTTCTTTAGTGACTTCGAAAGCTGTTCTTTTTCCATTAAAAGGGTAAAGGGAATTGGAGGAAGGGATGACTTGGCCGTTATGAGAAGCCTTTTTTGAAATGTTATTTAGGCCTAGGCTGGGAGGCCGCCACAGCTGTATCTTATTTTTTTATTTTTTTTTTATTTTTTGCTTTTTTGTTTTAGTGCTTATGGCATTTAAAGGAACCCGAATACAAAAGGGATGGGAGGAGGAATGTTATTCTTAAAAAAGGAAAGCCTGTTTTGAAGTTCTGATCAAAATGCAGTCAAATTCAAAAAATGAAAAAGGCAAAATATGAGGAAAACGAATATGAAATGGCTAAAAAAAATCAAGTGATAAAAAAGATATATACAAAACAAAAAATGAAAGGGATAACAATCTAACAATATCAAAATTAACAAATTTGAAATAACTTCATACTCTACCCACAATTCTGAAGAGCAAAATTGAACATGTAAAGGACACACACATGCATACGCATAAAAAAAAAAAAAAAAAAAAAAAAAAAAAAAAAAAAAAAAAAAAACAGAAAAAGAAAAAAAAAAGAAAAGAGAGAAAAAAAGAAAGAAAAGAAAAGAAAAACAAAAAAAGAAAAAAAAATATATATATAAATAGTATGCATGTATAGAGCAGAAATGGTCATTATACAGATTAACCAACTGTTAATACAGAATGAATCGGTTTTGTTGCGTATTTTGCAATTGCAATAAATACACGAACATAAACTGCCACACGAAAGGGACAACTGAAGAGAAAATCAGATCAATTAGTGACGTATAATGAATCATATAAGAACTTTTATCCTTTGTTTCAGTGTCGATTGAGAATATTTAAAATAATTTATTTCGTGGATGCACGAAGAGCAGAGATGAAGATGCTAAATACATAAAAATCAACAAAAATGCTAAAAATAACAACAATGAAAATACACAAAACAAACAAATACATTTTTTTAAATTTAGAAGAGGTGGGGGGGTTATCTATACAATTTTTGTTTTTATTAAAGGGTGGGTCAAGGTTCGTATTCGTCGAGTTATCAAAAATTTATTCAAAATATCCTTCAAAATAGTTCAAAAGAGAAGGGAGGAGGAGTTCAGGAAGAGGAGGAGAGGAGGAGGAGGAGGAAGGGAGGGTTCAATAAAGGGGAAAGGAGGGTGTGGGGGGGGGGGAAAGGGCAGGGAATATAAGGGGTCTTTGAGCACATGTATAGTTTTAACAAAGATAGGGGTGGGGGAGAAGGGGGGGGGGGGGAATTGTTCGTGCCAAGTTATAAGGACAACGAGGTCTATACAACACCAAAAGATTTTTTTTTTTTATACACTTAGCATACAAAAAAAGCATCGCACTTCCATGCATATCATTAAAGTCGGAATGGCCAATCTGGTCGTGAACTGTCCAGGATTCGGGTTCTGATCGACTTATATCTTAGCACTGAACAGCACTACACACAAATCAATAAATATAAACAAAAACTGTTTTTGTTTTGTTTTTTTATAATTATCTTTCTCTCGCTCGCTCGCTCGTTCTCTCTCTCTCTCTCTCGCTCTTCGCTCTCTCCCAAGTAACTTCTACAGCGAAAGTGAACCTTAGCGTCTGATTCCACAAGGGTCAAGATACACAGGCATGACATTGGAAAGTGACTCTTACCAGCGTGGTTCCCGTTCGCTGAGGATGCCACGTGTACAGATGCAAATAATGACCGTATACATGAGGTTGTGACAAGTCCGGGTAGTAATTCTCAAGGGATTATAGCTCTTTCTTCACGCGACTGATCAGCATTATAGAGTTGTACCATGTTCATGAGTTTGTTCACAGTGCACACAAAGGGAAGAACAAAATGGTATTTATATACATACGTACGCGTGTATATATACATATACATAAATATAAATATATGTATCGATATATACATATATAGATCTATATATATATGTATATATGTATATGTATATACATATATACATACATATATATATATATATATATATATATATATATATATATATATATATATATATATATATATATACGGTATATATGTTTTTTTGTGCCCGCGATGTGCACAGTTTACAAGAAAAAGGAAATAGAAAGCAAATGAGATGACGTCACAAAAGTGGTGTTCAAGACCGAGCTGCCCTTTTCAAGATTGAGACATGTTCTCCGCCCTCTGACGCGCCCCTTCCTGTTGTTCCATTCATGAATAGAACAAGAACAAGATGAACAAAGAACAAAAAAAAAAAAAAAAAAAAAATGTCGCTGGGAATATATAGATGAGAGATTCAGTTTAGAATATACAATTTTTTCAGTAACGAATGAAAGAAAAAGAAAATATAAAATCGAATTGATGTTCCTTCCTTTTTCCTGCTCTCTCTCCCATGAAAATAATAATAATAATAATAATAAATAATAATAATAGTAATAATAATAATAATAAAATAATAATAATAATAATAATAAAAAATAATAAAAGAAAAACCAAAGAGAGAAGCAACAAATAATCCTCCAATGCACAGAAAAAATAAAATAGAAAATAAAATATAATTATATATATTATATAATAATAAATAAATAAATAAATAAATATATATATATATATATATATATATATATATATTTTTTTTCTCTCTCTCGCCCAACCTCCGTCCTTCGCGCGAGCACTTCAAGTCGAGGTCACTGCGCCGGCGACCTAGCTTCTGTGGGACGCGTTGAAGGGGGGGGTTGGGAGCACCGACGGACGTGGGGAAGGAAGGGGGAGGGAGGAAGGAAGGGAGAGGGGGAGGGAGGAAGGGGAGGGGAAAGGGAAGGGAAGAGGAGGAGAGGGGAGGGGGAAAACTGGGGGAAGAAGGGAGGGGAAGGGGGATGGAAGGGAAGGTTGGGGAATGGAAAAAGGCGCCATTTTCGAGACGAACTTATCAATCAAAAAAAAGAAAAAAAAAGAAAAAAAAAAGGAAAAGGAGGAGCCCTTAACCATCACCCTCAAAAAAAATAATAATAAATAAAATATAATCATAAATAAATAAATAAATAATAATGCTAACAATTGTGCTTCCCTCCCGCGTGGCGAATCGGGGCCCAAGCACCTGTTCAACGGGCGTTCAAACAGCCTCGCTTGGCTCCCCAGATGAGAACAGCGGCGTCTTGGAGAACAGGTCAAGACGTCTGGGTGATACTTTGAGTAATATTTTAAAAAGAGAGACAATTAAAAAAAAAAATGAAACATAATTATAGAAACAGTTATGATAATTATTATAATCATTTAATGTCATTGATAATAACATTTAAACTTTGTACATACAGTAAATGAACAACAAGGATGTGAGAAAACAGCCTTAACGATGTCTTTCATACAGAGTCACCATTATCCCATAACATGAAGGAAAAGAAACAGCGAAATCGTCCAAATAACTTATTTTACACGCTATAAAAAATCTCTCTCTCGCTCTCTCTCTCTCTCTCTCTCTCTTCGTATATAAGTCAAAAAATGGATGTTATGGAACAACGCTGTAAACATCACTCTCTCATTCTCTCCTTTACACATTTGTATGCTCCTGTCCGCAAGTATCACATGAACTCGACCCCAACGGCGTCTTGAAGGATCTCCACCACTCGCAGCGGCCTAACGGTCCTCGCTCGCTCGCCCTGTGATTGGTTGGCGGGAATTCAAATTTTCGAAACGGGCGAGCGGGCCAACGGTCGCTCTTTGCCCGGGCGAATCAACATGGTGTAAAAAAAATAAAATAAAAATAAAAAAATCATGCGTTGCTATTGCTTTGCCCAAAAAAGAAAAAAAGAAAAGAAAAAAAGATACTTGATTTGCGGAACAACTGTCATGTACAATTCTTATCTTAATATTCTTTTTTTTCTAATTTATTCACAGGTGCTTCGAGGCGATTAGGGTTGGCGAGGTGGACACTCTTACAAGTTCACGCTGAGATGAAGTAGAAATGAGTGTGAGCTGCGACTAGGTGTGTACAGAAACGGGAAGCAAGATCAGGTTGGTGAAAGCAATTGTGCACAATATATACATATCAACCTGTCCGGTGCTACAGCTCTTAGAAAGTCTTTTTTTCTCTGATTTCGTAACTACTATTTTTTTTTTACGTATGAGAGAACACAAACAAGCTTATTTTCCGAGCATGTTCATATTCGTGACGTATTATTTTTTTTATACACTCTTGAGCCGACACACAGAAAACGGTGAATGCGAAACGGCAAAGTGTTGCTGTCTCTCTTTTTTCTCTTATATATATTTCTTTTTTTCCAGAGTTTCTTGTAAAACACAAAAAGCCTTGCGAGCACTTTTGGTGTGGTTATATTTTTTCCCCTTTTCTTTTAAAAATTTTCCTCCTTTATCAACCTTTCATCACTTCTGTTTTCCTCATTTGACTAGCGCAGTTTTGTCCGATGAACGAGGATATATATTCAATTACTCCGTAGAGACGAAAATCTAACTGATCACTAGAGCAATTGTTCCTTATGGCACACCAAAACAGGAAGAGTTTTCCGTCACTGTACATGCAATGGTTGATGAGTCTCCCTAAAATTCCTTAAACTTTCACAAAAGGGTTAGAGTCCGTAATCTCACACAGTAGCCTTAAAAATATATTTACAAGATAATATTAAATGATGTAGACGGAGAGCCTTCCAACTCTCTCGTCCTTGTAATGCTTTACATATCACATAACAGAGCCTTAAGAGAAAACATGACAAGTCCTTGCTTCTGTTTGCGAGAAAATCTGACGTCGGAACGCCCCTCTGCTTTCCTCGGCTTTGGGGGGGGAGGGGGGGCGGTTCTTGCGTCGGCTTGATGCTTGCTGGATGACTATTGGTGGCTGAGTTCCTGGCTATTGATACGGTTAACGGACTGCGTGGTTGCTGGTCTTCCGGAGTGGGGGTGGGGGTGGGGGGAGTTGCAGGTCGTTAGTGTTCGGTTTCCACGGGAGAGGGTTACTACACAACGGCTCTATGACTCGCCTGACAAGTCTTCGTGTTACCATCGCTGCAGTGGGCGGCGCGGGAGCGAAGGAACGCGGGTCTCCCGACGAGCGCTTCTCCGCTGCCCTGCGCCCTCCTGGCGAAGGGCTTCGGCTCCAGGGCGCGCCGGGCCGGATCCTCGCCATGGCGCCGGAGGCGGGCTCGGTCGCCACGCCTTCGTCTCCCTCTCTTCGGGCCATACAAGTGCGGCGCGCGTCGCAGGAGGTGTAGGGTGTCGCCGCGCGAGGGGCTTCCCGCGCGCGCCCCCGCTGCCTGCACGAGCCACGGCGGCCGGCGCGGCACCTGCGGTCACCCGCTGGCGTCCGCCTCCGCCGCGGCTCGGGATCAGAGCTGCGGCCGCCAGCGGGGGTGCGCCTGGCCGCCGCCCCTCGCAGCATCGGCGGCGGGAGGGCCTGGGAGGGCGACGGATGCTGCATCTGCATGCGCGGAGGCAGCATCGAGAAGAGCTGCGCCGAAGACTGCGGCGCCTGCATCTGCGCTCGGTACGGCAGCTGCGAGGGCATCTGCTGCGGCGCCCGTACTGCTGCAGCTGGCTGGCGAACTGCGGCACCTGAGATGGAACTTGCGGGATCGACATCGGCGGCTGCAACATCTGCGGCGGCATCTGCGGCCCCTGCGGCAGGATGGGATGGCCCTGCGATGGTAACTGAGAGTGTTGTTGGTGTTGCAGCGAAGGAGGCTGTGGTGGTCATGTACGCCGCCTCTTTCGCCCCTCCCGGCCGCGTCTCATCGGTCCTCCATGGTCAGCGAGTCGGGACTGCCGTAGCCGCTGGAGGCGTCGTCGGCGGCCACCGCGTGGTTGGAGCTGTTGGGCTGCGGGGCGCGGAGGTGGGCGGGGGCGCCTTCAGGCCGCTCCCGCCCCCGCCGCCGCCCTCGCCCAGGTGTGGTGGTCTCCCAGGCCGCGATCGCTCCGCCCGGGGGAGGTGGAGGCCCGACGTGCCCGGCCCTCCGCCGCCCAGACCCAGGCCGTTCATCATCATCTGCTGCTGATGCTGATGCGGGTGTTGATGCTTGCTGCTGCTGCTGCTGTTGCTGCTGGTGGTGCTGTGGAGGGAGGGTGGGGCCGAGGGGGGAGCGCGCCTCGTTGAGCCATGTTGGATTCCTCCGGGGCTGCTGGGGTGGAGAGAAGAAAGGGGTTAGATGCAATTGGCCACCGCGAACGGGCTGTGAAACGACACAAATTAATTATCATTATCCCTAAAGAATCCAATCGCTGCACTGACACCCACAGCGACAACACACCACACGGAACACAGTACCCTAAGAACATATTCTCAAGAGGGAATAATCTAAAAATAATAATAAAAAATAATAAAAAAAAAAAAACACGAGAAAATATAAATTCTCGCGCATATTCAGATCTCCCCTCTCCCCTCTCTCTCTCTCGTTCCCTCTCTCTACCCACATCTGCCAATAGAAGTGTGCAAAGCGCCCGTGGATCGTGTGGCGTGCCAATGTGTTTATTAAACCAACAAACTATTTATATTATCTACAACCCTCTCCCTCGCCCTCTCCTTTTCCCAATCTCCGCATTCTTAAATGAAGCTAAATCTAAAGTCATCTTCTGTTTCATTCAGACTGCGGAAGTGCGGCTACTTTTTTCCACTTAATATTGGAATGCAGGAATCCGGGAGAGAGAAGGAAGGAGAAAAAAGAGAGAGGGGGGAAGGAGGGGGAGGGAGAGGGAGAGGAGAGGGGTGGAGGGAGGAGAGAGAGAGGGAGGGGTGGTGGGAGAGAGAGAGAGAAGAGAGAGAGAGAGAGAGAGAGAGAGAGAGAGAGAGAGAGAAGAGAGAGAGAGAGAGAGAGAGAGAGAGAGAGAGAGAAGACGAAGATGAAAAGAGAAGAGAAAGGAGGAGGCCAAACCAAGCACACACGCACACACACAAGAAGAAAAAGAAGAAGAAAGAGAAGAAAAAGAAGAGGAAGAAGAAGACTATTCGAAGCAGCCGACACACACACACAATACAAGAGGCATACCAGAAGATGCGGGTGGGGGAGGGGGTGGGTGGGGCTTACCCAGGTCAATGAGGAACTCTGATACAGATCATTAGAATTAATCAACCCACTTGAATAATAAAAATCATCAATCTCCTCCAGGCATGATGATGAGGCGAATTTTAAAAAGATAACAATAAAAACAACAGAGGTACTATAACTACTACTAATTACTATTACTACTACTTTTCCTACTCCAACTACTACCATCACTACTACTACTACTACTATACTACTACTACTACTATTTCTACTACTGCTACTGCCACTACTATGACTACTACTACTAATAATAATACCAAAGATAAGAGATTACTCATGCTACCACTTTCCCCATTGAGAGATAAGGCATTCTCAAAGTCAGGCATAGAGAAATGCTTGTTTTTTTTTTTTTGTTTGTGTGTTTGCGAGAAAGAGAAAAAGAGGGAGGGAGTGGAGAGAAGGAAGGGGGAGGGGATGGAGGGAGAGGGGGAGGGAGGAGGGAGAGAGGAGGGGAGGGAGGGGATGGAGGGAAGGAGGGAGAAGGGAGAGGAGGGGGAGAGGGAGGGAGGGAGGAGAGAGAGAGAGAGAGGAGAGAGAGAGAGAGAGAGAGAAGAGAGAGAGAGAGAGAGAGAGAGAGAGAGAGAGAGAGAGAGAAGAGAGAAAGCGAAAAACAGACAGAACAAGACAGAAGACAAGAGAGGAGAGAAAGAGGAGAGAAAGTGGGAAGAAGAGAAGCAAGGAGAAAGAAAAGGGAAAAGATGCCAGAACGAGAAAGCGAAGAAGATACACGGAGACATACGGACGAACCGCGAAAAAAAAAAAAAAAAAAAAAAAAAAAACGAGTCATAGAAGGTGGACTACCTAGTACACATATATATATATTATATATAAAAAGACACTGCCACTGTATAAAAAAACGTAGCCAATAGCCCGCACGATACGCAAGGTCGTGCAAAGTGGGCATACGGGGGCTGTGTACGTGGGGTGGGTTGGAGGGGGTGGGTGTTGGAGGGAGTGGAGGTGGGGGTGGGGTGGGGTGGGGTGGAGCGAGGGTATAGGACTTCGAGTGGGATTCTGGGCGGGCCCGAGGTGGAGCTTTGGTAGGGGTGGGGGTGGAGGCCTATTCGTTGAGGTGGGGGGGGCTAGGGGTGGAGGGAGTGTGAGGCCTATCTCTCAGGGTGGATGGATGCATGGGTGG